AACAACAGTTATAATAAATATAACAACAGTTATAATAAATATAACAACAGTTATATTAAATATAACACCAGTTATAATAAATGGCTGAGAGCAGAGTGTTTTTGTGCTGCTCACCCTTTTTCAGCATGTAGGAGCAAAACTGATAAAATCCAGGCTCCAAAGAGACGTTAGTGTTTTCATCAGTTTGGACATAACTGTCATGCAGACGCTGCATGCACAATGAATGCAGCTGACATCAGGGTTGCCAAATAAATTTAAAAGTCACAGTACTATAGTTCATAATTTCTTATCTGGCAACCCGACTTGTGTAGAAACTAAAGCGTTTTCGTGTAAACCCGCACATTTTTTGTCTATTATCCCCAATAAACATTGAAAAGACACAACCGTTTCCAGAGGTTGTTCTTGTGTAAACAGGCCCTTATATCTGTGGGTAGTGTGTTAGTGGGTAGATCACTTTGACTTGGTCATCTTAAAAGGAGCTGCACGATGAAAAACTATGGGCACCTCTGATTTAGTCAGACAGTGTTAACTCTTCCTCGTCTTCGACTTTTCCAAGAGTGTCAGGCAAAACCTCTTCCCTTCACATTAGTTTAGCACAACAAAATCCACACCCAGATGTTGAGACGGTTGTGGAAATCTTCTTGACTTGGGCCTCACATGTTCTTGCAGATTATGCTTCAAATATATCAGACATCGTTGACAATTTTTTAAATAGTGTTGAGCAGTAATGCATAAACACTTTCTTCCCTCATGGTGTAACTGTGTCACCACTCAAGTCTAACAACTGTCCCGCCACAGTAACTCAGGTTCATGTGTCCAAAGGTCACAAAGCAGAGTTCACATTCTTCTCAGGCGGGGGTGTGAAGATAAGCCGTTGTTTTCCCATGTGGAGATGCTGGTTTATCTATCCCATCCTGTCTCCTCCCTAACTCAAGGTCACCCTGTATCTGGAAAGTTGTTTTATATTCATCTCAGCAGAGTCACACATCTCACACAGAAGGAGCTTCAAGGCTAATTAACATCATTCTTCTCACCTTGCTTATGGTTAGAATAAGCACAAACAAAGAAAAGTGAAGTTTATTAGCCTTTAAGCTCATTCTGTGTGAGGTGTCCGACTCTGCTGAGATGAATGTAAGAAGCAGTTCTGTGTGTCCAAGTGTGCCGGGCTCAAACAGAACGCGCTGCAGGCTCAGATCGGTCCAGAACATTAAATCTCCAGCCCTCATGAGTGGTTTGAAGAATCTGTTTTCTTCTTCCAGAAGCTGGACACTGACGAGAAGAGTTTCACTCTCAGAAACCTGGAGGAAGGAGTAAAGTTCTGCTTCCAGGTCCACCTAAAGATCCATACAAACAAAAAAACGCAGCCGTCTGAGTGGACCTGCACCTTCAGCAGCCCCGAGGTACCAGAAAAAGGTGAGAGGAACCCCCAGAACTGGTCTGATGATAAGCTGTTAAGGTTTAACGGTTCTGATGAACGTTGGTACCACGGAGAGAAGAACATCTCTCGTGGTGGTCTGATTGCAGTTGTTCTCGTGTTTCCTAAAATAAAGTGAGATGGTTCTGACCTTGGTCTGAATTATGAGCATTGACAGAATAAAGTCCTGCTTCCTGTCTGATGGTGTCCATGTGTCTCCAGACCTGTTTGTTCCAGTTGTGGTTTCTGCTCTCCTGGTTCCTCTGATCATCGTGGTCCTGGCGGTGGGAATGCTCTGTCTCTACTACACTGGATTCATCTGTAAACTGAAGAAAGTGATGCCCCGAGCTCTGACGGTGAAACACGACTTCATTTATCTGAACCTTCACTTTGAAAACTATCAGCTTCTGCTGAAGATGTGTTTTAGAAACTCTGATCACCAGGAACCTTATGGCCACCTACGTAAGACCAGCTCAGTCCATCTTCAACTGATAAAACCCTGACTTATTGTAGTCTCCTTAGGACCCCATGAAAGGCTCCTGGGGTCCTCCTGAAAGTCTTCTTGGGATCCCCTGAAAGACTCCAAGGACCACCTGAAGGGCTCCTGGGGACCACCTGAAAGTCTCTTGGGTGCCTCTGACATATCCTGAGAAATTTTAAAGGCCTCTGGAGGACCTGTGAAGGTTCTTCTGATGACTTCTG